CTATCACTCTATTATTTCATTTTAAATTCCTTTATTTAATTTCATTTTCTACTGGGAAGCGCTAGAATTTTATTATAACAATTAAAAAAAATTACAAAGAGAGCAATTTCAATTAGCAGTATGACGGACATGAGTAATTATTTGCACTTGACTAAAATACGTTGTCAAGTGTAAATTGAAGAAAAAAAAGGCCGGTAAAGATAACGATTGCGGCTCGCAAGTGAGTCCATGCGTGCACTTGACTTGTTTGTTTAATTTTGTTGATTTGGTCATTGTGGATTATGACTTGATGCTAAAAAGGGCGGCTGTGTTTGAATTGCAGGGTATGGGACGTGCGAGTACCCAACAGGTTACTGAATGAAGAAAAATGGGGTTGTTTTTGTTTGGTTGAGGTTAGCTTAATCATTCTTTGAATTTGGTGCTAGCTTTTAGAATTTAGAGAACATGGGACCTATTTTCATTGTATTTATTATTATTGTTATTATTTATTGTTATGCATATGGATTATATTAGTTGGTTTGACTTATTTGTCTGTAATTACGTCCCTAGGTGTTGATATTGATTTCTCAATGTCTTCTTCCATGCCTTTCTGTTTTTGGCTTCTATATAATCATATGGTTAAAATATTTATGCGGATGAGAGAGATAGATCATGCTTCCAAATTGCTTCTTCTTGTCATTTATCGTTTTATTTGTTAAAATAATGCGTTTTGATGGGATGGGATGGGGTTAGGGTTCGCTACAAAGCTTTTGCTTATATCAGAAACTATATGGTGGCGTTTGATTTTGTTTCAACCGACCAAGTTGTATGAAAACAAAAGGACTTTCTCAATGAACCCAAAAATCTGATCAGTACACTTGACATTCAATAAAATCTCAGGTGGCATATGCATGATTCTATGTTTTCCAATCATCACACCGGCAGGAAATATGAGAAAATTTTAGAATAATGCTTTCCGGGTTTATTGACTTCCTCTTTTCTCTCTCATTTTGGACCTTTGGGTGCATAAAGCGGTGGCCTTTGGGTGCATAAAGCGGCTTTTGCATCTTCGGATAAGGCTAGATTTTAAACTAGGCTCAGTTTGGCTGAGGTGTTGTTAGGGGTGGGCACGGTCCAGTTCGTCCCATTTTCATCCGGCTTGGTCTGGTGAAAAACTGATCACAAAATCGAACCAGACTGGACCAGCTTAGATCTGATTCAATTTCCGGTTCTTCCAGTTTGGGCCAGCACCAAAGCCCAATTTGATTTGATTTGATTTTTTTGGATATTTCAAGCTTAAAGAACAACTGAATTTTTAAAAAAGTTTGGGTTAAAAATCACAATTGGTCCGATTCCCATATTGAATCCAGCAAGCATTCTTTTGTTAAAAAATAAATAAAACAATCCAGGCAACATTAAGTGCACAATTAAATTAAAAATTACAGCTCCATTTTTGGTTGATGCATCTCCAAAGCTGCAACGATGTGTTTCTTTCTACCAAGAACACACAAACCATCAAAAGCATCAAGAATTCCCTTTACAAATACAATTCGCTAACTGCAAACTGAGGATTTAAATCTAAAAAAGACTATAAATCAAGCGTGTTACCTTGGACAGGGGCTAAGTCGAAGGAAGGACGAGCAGAAGGATCAAAACCCTTTGTGGTATAGACTGGTATAGAAAAATCTCTTTATGAACCAATTCTTGTAAAGGTTTTTGTATAAGCCATAATCAGCTGATTTCCGTCCATCAATTGTTACTCAGCTTACTTGAAAAGAAAGTTGAGTATGGCTTATACAAAAACGTTTTACAAGAATTGGTTCAGGGAAAACGTTTGTGAGTTTCGGCCTGTGGACATAGAAGGAGAAATTGATGAGGGAGAGCGAGCTAACCGATTGGTTTGAACTTCTGTTTCTCACCTACCCGCTCAGTCAGAGATTTTTAGGATAAACTAGGGGTGTTTTCGGCGGTTGAAAGGGCACAAGTTAGAGACCAAGTGTTAGGGTTACGGGTTTTAATGGTGATGGGTTTGGGCCAAAAATAATTTGGATGGTGGGCTTTTTTATAGTTGAATACTGAAAAACATATTGGCCCAAAACTAAAATTTGCACGCATACGCGTACGGTTATGCCGATACGCCAAAACTCCAAAAACTAAAATATGGGTACGGTACCGATAAGGCGATTAAAATAATATATATTTAATAATTAATATAAATAGCAAAAATTAATATTGCATCCATTATGTTATAATCATCCATCATAAGTACAAAACATAAAAATAAACACAAAATACAAGTCTACATAAACGAAAAGTCTCCATAGGATTGTTCAAATCATATATATGTTTTTTTAAAGAAAGCAACACAAAAACAAATTAAAACATTGAGAAGCGACTTCCTAAATCTCCAAATCCATTGGATTTTATACTTTTGAAAAGAACCAAACATATTTTCAAAATTACCCCTTAAAGTATCGAAAATGTATCTTGAAGTATCGAAAAGTCAAACTTTCAAAAAAATCAACGATACTCTTATATTCGTATTGAATACATATCGGAGGCATATCGTACCCGTATAGGAGTATCGGATACCAACATACCCCTCAAGTTAGGAGTATCGATGCAACATAGGTTTTAAGTAACTTATAACCCTAATTCTTCTTCTTCATCAAAACGGTTCATCAAATCCCACCGTTGTTTCTTCTCTCTCTCTCTCTCTCTCTTCCTCCTCCTCCTCCTCCTCCTCCTTCGTCTCTTTTCATCTCTGCCTCTCTGTCTCTATCTTTCTTGATTTCCTCTCTGTCTTTCTTCCGCCGTTGCTTCTCTCTGGGATCTCTCTCTCTCTCTACATAAATAATATATATGTATTACATTATTTAATTAAATATATCTCAGACGGTTGCGATAGCCAACGTAATGGGTATTTGGGTACTGCAACCGGTACCGTCACTGATCGGTCTGGTTGTCCAACTGCAACCAGGTTGCTTTCTGGTCAACCACGATTTGCCGACCGCAAAAGCCGATCGATAACTGGCGGGTTTTGGTGTTTGCGGTACAACAACACAACCCTGGGATAAGCATGCTTTTAATACATGTGGTCAAAATGTGTACTTTTATAATTTCTTACCTACTAGTTGGATTAAAAAAATTCACCAAAAAATACAAAAACCTACTGCTAATGAAAAATTCGGAATATCCTTTAATGTGAATAATACAATTGAAATCCATGTCCCACGCTGCTCTGAAAAATTCTAAATAAAATGCTCTACATTAATTATACTAATTAGCCTTCATGACAAGAGCTTAACAATTGCAAAAGTTTTGTTTTGTTTTCAAATAAACGATAATATATTATTGATAAACAAACAAACAACATGTTGAATTTGAATTAATCTAGAGAGAATTACGCACAACTCAAATAATGACTAAATCTCCGATTCAGCAACCAGAAGCACATGTACTCAGACTTACTATACAGATTCGTCGTGTAACGACAGAAATAACAAATCCATATCGAAAGCCAAAAGCTAAAAATAATTAAAAATCTTAAATATAAAACAAATCACAACAAATTCATAAAGAGTTTTTGAAAATTATTAGACTAAAACAAAATTAAGAAATAGGACCACTGCTAAACCCGTAGTCCCCTTTTTAGAGTCAACACCTTGTGTACGTGGGTCCAAATAAGGCGATACATCGTTTCATGGTGACTGTTTTCTCACAAAATATATTAACAATCTTGAGTAAAAAGGAAAGGAAAGAAAGAAGAAGGGGTGAAAGAAGAGGTGGGTGGCAAAAGCCTCTAGTTTTTACACATTAAGAAATCAATAAAACTCCCATCGTAAATTAAATTACAAGTAAGCAAAACCTTTTTATTTTTTATTTTATAGTAAATTGATTGAAGTAGATTTTGGACCATTACTTGAGACTGTTCCATGGGTGTGCTTAGTAGCGTGCACGGTGGTGCATCACATCACATCGTCTTTCTCTAATCTAATCATTAAGAAACAAATCGGAGAAAGCAAAAGGCCCCAAAACGACATACGAATAGAGCGTTGCGTGGACTCCTCAGTAGTTTTGGCGTTTTGATTTGTTCTGCCCAAAAGCAAGAAAATAACAAAAGAAAAAACGTGTGTACGTAAGACTATAGGACTGTGTGTTGGGTGTCGCCTCAAGAAAAATGAAAATAGTTGAGACAAAAAAAGGGTTCGTGGCTTACATTTAAGAAACTTCAACCAAACCAATTCACTTTTCTTTTTTTTCTTATACTTATTGTAAGGAGAATTGATATTAATCACTTGAATTACGAGTCATTAATTGTATTTCACATTAATTATATTAATGACGGGGAAATGCAAGTATAATTATTGTTTTTTAACACAAACAATAGTTTAAACTACAAGGAGATGAGATTTCTCTCACACACAGTATCAAGGTATAATGAAATGAAAACCTACTAATCTGCAAGTGAATTGAAGTGCATTTTCATTGAGTTAGACCATATTGACGCAACTGTTTTAATCAGTGAACTAAAACCCCTTTACGATGAACTCTCATTTACTCCATTTATTTATTTTGGTTTGGAATTGAATTACCAATTTATATATTAAATCTGTGATCAAACAGAAGCGAATTAATGATAAAATTTCTCTTTCATCAATTTTTAAAATAAAAAAAGAAGATAAACGTTATCCCTAATCATCTGCAGGACAACAAAACAGAACACAAAATGATTTAGGACTTGCAACATGAATATGATTCTATGATTTTCTTCTTGATAAGAGGAACAGAAACAAAGTACAAACAAACACGAAAAGAGTTTCAATATCAGAATCCTTATTAACTACTATAGGGGTCCTGAACGCTTTTGGATTATATTTATATGTTCCTTGTTCAGTACGAAATCAAACAAGAATAGAATTCGAGGAGGCTGGAGCTTTAATTTATAACACAAGTTAACCCACATCAGCTTTCGTACAAGAAAAGGAGCAGATATATTTTTTGTGGTCGAAAGAAAAAAGCATAGAAAATTTTCTGGCTAGGCTAGCTAGTTTGCAAGAGAAATCATAAAATGGAAAAGCGGGGGCAGACCAGAAACTCAAACTCTAATGGCCAGCTTCCATCAACGATGATAGAGGAGATTCTATCAAGGCTACCAGTGAAGTCCTTATGCCGCTTCAAGTGTGTCTCAAAGTCATGGAGTTCCCTAATCTCCGACAACCCCAGTTTTGTTGCATCGCACTTGTGCAAAGGCTTTGGGAAGGGTAAAGATGATCTACTCTTCCGAAGAAGAAGAAGAGTCATATTTACTGATGCCGCAGGTAATGGCCTCCACTCTATGCATCTTGACTACGATGATGAGTTTCTCAATCATAACAACGAAGAAGATGCATCATCCGATCAAGATAATCGCAATCGTAACTGTTTCGATTTCGATGAGGAGGTTGGTGGTAGTAATTTATTAGTAACAACAGCCACGGAGCTCCAGTATGTTTATAGCGAGTTATCAGGTATTTCGGTTTCCATGTTGGGTTGCTGCAACGGCCTGTTGTTATGCATGTTTTTATATGACCCGCAGTTATATTTGGTTAACCCAGCAACAAGGCAATCCAAGAAACTACCAGAAATACCAACAGAATATCTAATTGATGATCTCTATTACTTTTGTGACGTGTATGGGTTTGGATTTGATTCTTCAACTCATCAACACAAGGTCGTCAATGGTGTCGTCTACAGAACAAGTGTCCGTGATGATGATGAAGGAGGGGTTCAGTTTAATGTGTATACACTGGAAACTAATTCTTGGCGACAGATTGATGAGTACGTATTTCCCTACCACATCTTTCCATGTCGAAATAAAGGGACCCTGCTGAATGGAAATCTCCATTGGTTGGGGACAAGAGTCGGAGAAGATGATCATCATCATTCATCTTTGTTGATCGTCTCCCTCGTTTTAACACAAGATCAAGAGGAGGTTCGAGAAATTCCACTGCCGCGCGAAATCGACTCTTCTCAAACTCTTCGTACTATTCTCGGGGTCTTCAGAGAATGGTTATGCGTAACTTTTGAGGGTGATTATGGTAAAGCAACACCAACATTCAATGAGTTTTGGGTCATGAAGGAATATGGAGTGGGCGAGTCTTGGACTAAAATGAGGGTCTCCATCCCATATTGGAAGTTGTCACATTCTGGTTTCTGGACAAAGTCTCATGATTTGATGGTGTTTGAAGAAGAGTTGGTTATGTACAATTTTAACGATCACAGCTTTCGGAATCTACGCGTTCGTGAAATCGGCAAAGTTGGTAGTGTTGAAACCTACTGGGAGAGCATTGTTTCACTTAAGTAGAGTGAGAAAAATAAAAGAAGTAATTGGTACATTTTCTTTTCTTTCTTTTTCCCTTTTGTTTTTTTTTGGTTGTCTTAGTTGTTATTCTTTTGAAGCAAAATATGCTGAACAAGGTTACCATTGCTTCACAGTGACTTGTTCAATAGGAGGAGACATCAAACTTTCCATCATACTGGCTTTGCGACATGAGGTCTCTGGTTTCATCTTGACAACTGTTAGACAGAGGTCTCTGGTTAATAGATATAGTTAAATTGTTTAGTCTCATACTATATCCATCATACTGGCTTTGTTGTAAAGAAAATTGTTCCTAATACTTCTTCTTTTCTTTATTAATTAAGATTTTCTTCATCTGTTGGTTTATATTACTTGTTACCACAACGATACTGTACACATAATTAAAGAGCACGTGATAAGCTTATTTGAGGGATCCCTCAATGGAAGCTCTCTGTTATACATATATATATATATACGTGGGTAATGTAGAAATAATTGAAATTCTATAGCAGATTCTGAAGATCTTGCACAATTCTTTGAAAACATGGAGCACATTTGAAATGGATTAGAAATGACTATATGCATGAATTGTCCGAATCTTGACACACATAAATTGTAATTGCCTAAACAAACAATATTATCGTATATCGAAATTCACAAATTTGAAATCTTCCTTTCATACCGTAACATATAAAACAATTTCCTTATTAAAAAAACCCAATCAAATAATCAAACAGTAGTTAACATAATCAATCAAATATACAAATAAACCATTAGATGAGTTTTCTAGTTGGGATTCTCTCTCTCTTCTCATATTTTTGTTTCGTTTGTCAATTCTGTGGCTGAATTCTGTTGGGGGGGCCTTGGCAACCGTGGGGTATGACATGAAAAGCAACGACTACGACCACCGAGTTAGTATTCTATATGGTATAGCATAATGCGCGGGAAGGAATTCCCACATGTGGGCCCACATTTGTAGTTGACCACTAATGACACCCCACGTCATGTCGCAATAGCAACAGTTGTCAAGATGCCGTCAAGTCTGCAGCACTGTGGTACTTAAACCATTGTTTTTGTCAACAATAAATATATATATATATATATAATATATAATAGAGGAGGCAGTTGTTTTTTCTTTCGGTGCTTAAAGCATGGTTTTTATTTATCATAATTTTTTTTTACAGAGGCATCCATGGTTTCTGTCTGTATTTTGCCACGTTGGGATTCTAGCAGTAGGCAAGGGTGGATCAATAAATTTTTCAACAGGAGGGTTAGTTAAGGTTATTAACTTCAAATCTAATAATGATTTTTTTTTTATATAGTTGTTCTATAAATAAAAGTATACATTAAATTATACAAATCATTCTAGTTCATAATTTCATTGACAAATTTTTGATAATTTTTAACATGAAATAAATACATATTAAATGCGACCAAAAAACACATATCAAAATTATAGTATGTTCAACAATAAAATTAAAAGTATACCTATTCACCCGACGAGGTCTAACTCAGTAAAAAAAGACCTTAATTTGGAGATAAGTGGTCTTATTTTCAAACCCCCCATAGCACCTTTGTAGTATTGTGCGTGAGAAACCCCCCTTCATCTTGTAGTTTAGACTGCCACTTGTATTTAAAAAAAATGTAGCTATTCAAGTTTGTACATATCCTAAAATCCTTGAGAGAATTGAATTTTGTTGATATATAATCTGAGTCAATAAGCAATTTTTTTAGTTTATTTTAAATGTAGACAATCATATAATCCACCAGAAACTCGTTCTCCATCTTGTTAATAATAGTTGTTTTAACAAGTAGGAGAGTTAGGGCTAAGGAATTTTCCTTTTGGTCGAAGTGTTTTTGTTGGGATTGAGAAAACAAAGAGTCATTTAGGGTTGTGGATTGAGAACAAATTTATACACTTGTATTTTTATTTCTTTGGCTTGAATATGATAGTTCTATATAAACAAAAGTACCATCAAAATGTTAATTTCTTAGATTTGGTGTGATTTAAAAATTATTATTATTATTTTCCATTCCATCTGTGTAAAAGACGACAATTTATTCTAACAAAGTAAAGAGTAATGACGCTCTACCATAGTTGGGGCCCATCTAGGACCACCTCGTAGTTCAAACCAAAAAAAAAAAAAAAGTAAAGAGTAATGACGCTCTACCATGATTAGCTTAAGGAATAATCAAATGCAATTAGGATAATTTTTTTCAAAAAGGGAACAGCAATTAGGACATTAATAATTTGTTATAAGTGGTCTTTAATTAGTCTTACTTTCAAATTATCCTAGTGCATGGAACCTCTTGATTTTGGGTCCTAGACGTTGTACAGGTGGTTGGGGGTGCTCACTGAAAAGAGGGAAACAACAGGCAATTCGCATGTATTTGGGAGGCCATTCAACGAGTCCCTTCAAAACAAAATTTGGTTCTTATTCAACCAAAAACAAAAGAATACTACTTGCTTTATTATCGGTAAAGAGATACTCCTCTTTTTTGTGAATCACAGTTTGACGCATATGTAAAAAATAATTTATCAAAAATATATATAAAAAAACTTTTGCACACATGTTACACTGTTATTAACATGAATATATGAGCTCCTACTTACCTGGTAAGGAGGAAAGTATTTTCCAAAACAAAAACAAAAACAAAAATGGTTGGTTAAACTTGAAAACCCTAATTCATGCAGTACAATCATATACTTTGATGCAACATTAGCATCAAACAGCTGTAAAGTGCCCTTTCACTTTTTTTTTTTTTTTTTTCATTTGCACCCAAAACAAAGTGTGCGTTTTGAGCTATGATGGAGGTGGTTGAATTGAAACCCGTCCAACTCTCAAGATTTTTTGTTTTTAAAAATCAACAAAAACGGAAAATGTGCAACGTTTTCTGGTGATCCTCTATTTTATTAGTTTCTATGTGCTTAGGTGGCCTAACAACATTATTCAATCACTTGTTATGCCGAATAATTCTCAGCATCTTCAACTCTTTGGCCGCATCTCAACTTTCATGGCGTCTACTTCCGTTGCTTCTGCTGCATAAGTTAATTATCTATGGGCTCTTTCGCCAATTTGCTTTTCAGATTTTTTTGGTCACTGCCACTTGAATTCTTTAATTAAGGTGGAAAATCGAGATTTGAATGTTGTAATTGGTCAATTTATCCCCACCATGAGATTTGAAAAAAATGTTAAATACTTCAAAATTTGTTTCAAGTTGGTGTTGAAAAAACAATTTGATGTTCTTCGATTCTTAATTATCAACTTATTGAAGGAGGTAGATAGGAAGTCTGGTTGAAGTTGTGCATTTACAATACATCATAATACATTCTTAAATTTTATCTAAACGGTGGTTTATAGAGCTTATTGTGAATGGTCTTTGAGGAGACATAACAATGGATTGTCTCGAGGAACGTAAATCTAGTAAACTTGACCATTCATGATTTAGTAATTTCTAAATAAAAAAAAAGAGCTCATTGTAAATGCTCTTAAAAAGCAAACTGGATGGATTTATGTATTATATCTGGAACCTCTAGTATAATTTGCTTTGATGGGGTTTATCGTTTATGCTCGCTTGAAGACTACTAAGGCTTGATTATTTTCAATACAATTAAATATCATGGCATACGTTTAACATGGAATCCAGTACAATAGTGTTTTTGTTTTCCGCCTACAAACCATCCTTAGATATGAGATTTAAATATGCATTTGTGAGCTTTTGTAGGCTTATATAATGAATGTTGGGAAATGATTGATGATCGTTGAAAACAATTTGATGACCATTAGTTCAATTGTTCGTATATATCCTAAGGCTCTGTTTGGTGGGCTGGATTGGATGAGACATTTTCAATTAAAATGGACATACGTCTAGTCTGTTGTTTGGTGGGCTTAATTGCATCACACATTGGCTTGGACTTAAATTTTTGTTTAGGATATGAATCCAGCATATGCTGGATATCAAAACCCAAAGTTAGACGTGAGTTTTGAAACCGTTCTCTTCGTCTACTCATCTCTCTCTCTCTCTCTCTCTCTCTCTCTCTCTAGCCGAATCTCACTCATCTCTCTGTTCCACCACATTCGACCCTTCTCTAGAGTCATGGCCTCCGACTGTAAGCTCTCTCTTGCGGTCTTCCGGTGCTTCAAGACCAACTAGACGACGTCGTCGCTCAGAGATCCAAACCGTAAAAGCGAGATCTCAAAGATGCAGGGTTAATGGGTGGGTGCGACTTCCAACTTGACGTTGTTGTCTCCTGAGATTAAATTTTTGGGTTTTGCATATGGTTCCAAGCTTTTACTAAAAAGTCAAGGGTTTTCTTCAGTCTGAATTTTGCATCTGATTTTAACAAGCCATCCAATCCAATGTTTCAAAGCTCATCTTAACCAGTTCAAACCAACCCACCAAATGGGGCCTAAACAAATATTACACCGTGTTGTCATAGCTAATTGCCTCGCTCGAAAATAGTATTTTTTTTTCTTCTGTAAAATTGTAGGCCAAAGCCCACATAAAAAATCCAAAGGACTAATAAATAAGGAACTTCCTCAACTTGGGCCGTAGTGGTATTTTGCATAACTTAGCTTTTGAAGAAAGAGTAGTTTGCTTTAATAGTCTCCCTATATAGTAATGCAGAGAAGATTATTAATTCCATTTTGAATCAATGATTAGTTGTGTTCCATTAGTTGTGGTGATTTCTTTTTGTTCATCGTTTTTCTCAACTGTTATTTTGACTTAGGAATAATTTAGTGCGTTAAAAATTTGAGTCTTAAAATATGTGGGTAAGCAAAAAACATTATGAATTCATAACATTCTTTGTTATGACAATATCACTCATCTTTATAAAGTTGTTAGTTCAGTAAACATATATTTTACCGAGCTAACATAACTATTAAAGCATTGCTTTATACTGAGCTAGTATGTACCCGACGCTCCGACCTCTTTTTATTTTATTTTTATTTGCATAGAAGCAAGTTTAGCAAATTAAAAAGGTAGATGAACATTGTTATAAAAAGGGAGAAATTATTAAGTGCTTCAAGAAAAAACGTTTATGATAAAGATGTTGAAATTTTATAATAAAAATCCAAGTGCTTCTTAGAAAAGCACTTGTGAGTGCTTCTTGAAGAAGATAATCATGATCCATAAGCGCTTCTAAACTTTTTTACCAAACCCTGTCAGAAGTGCTTTTAGCAATTTCAAAAACACTCCAACCACACAGGATAATATAAAACTCTTTTTCGACGAAATGGTGGGCCAAGGCCCAAATAGAAATCAAAAGGACAAATAAGGAACTTCATTTACTTGGGCCGTAGTGGTACTTCGGCATGACTTAGCTCATGGAGAATGAGTTGTTTGCATTTAATTGTCCTCCTGTACAGTATTGCTAAGAATATCATGAATTTCAATTTTCAATTATGATTAATTGTGTTCCATTAGTTGGTGGTGTGGTGAAATCTTTTTGTCCTTGTTTTTCTTAACTTTTAATTTGACTTAGGAATATTCTAGTGTGTTGAAAATTTGAGTCCTAAAATATATGGGTAAGCAAAAGAATGATGGATTCATAACATTCTTTGTTGACAATGTCAATCATATTTAAAGAAATGTTAGCTCGGTAAATATAGTTCACCGAGCTAACATAACTATTAAAACATTGCTTCATATTGAGCTAGTATGTAAGCGAAGCTCCAACCATCTTTTAATTTGATTGTTATTTGCATAGAAGCAAGTTTAACAAATAAAAAAAGGTGTTCATCTACAAAAAAAAATACAAACGTAGATAAGCATTGTTATAGAAATGGAGAAATTATCGAGCGTATTGAATACACCTTACGGTGCATCGAATCAACCCATATTAGAATATGTATAACAATCAATAATGTATAACCCATGTTCTAAATAAAACATCTAATGTGTTGAAAATTAAACACATGTTACAATACATGTAGAATACACGATATCGACACATCGAAATGTCAAGTATACACAAATGCTTTTTTGGTAAAATGAGGAGAAAGCAATGAAAAGGATAGAGGAAATGCAAAGAAATTATTTGAAATATATTGTGAAGAGAAATGTGAGATCTGAATTTGTGACAAGAAGATAGAGGAAATACAAAGAAACTATCTTTGAAATGAATTGAAATGATAACTTGTTTGTACCAGAAAATAATTACCCCAAATTATTATTCCATCCATGGAATCATTGCTTGCCTGCCTATTTCCATATGATACATCCTTCATCCATGGAATCCCTTCATTTCAATTTCACCCAAAACCCCAAATTCCCAACTCAAATCAGTGATTTGAATAGACTAAAAACCAACCAACAAAGAAAAATAAAAATAAAAATAAAAATAAAATAAAATTATTCAATTTTCCCACAGGACATTCGGAATGAGACATTGTGGAAAAGCCAAGGGCCATTTGGTCATTTCCAAAAAAAATGTCACAAAAATAAAAGAATTGGGGAGAGTGAGAATGATAAAGGAAGCAGCAAGCAATTGAGTCCGGGTCGGTTTGTGGGGGCAAGAGAAGGTAGAGAAATCGAGAAAGGAAGAAACAAAGAAGGAAGGAAAAGAAGGAAAAGGAGCTTACCAAAAAGCCAATTTCATCTCAGCCAGAGAACGCGGAACCCCAAAAAAATAAAAAATAAAAAAATAAAAACAATTATTTTTTATTTTTATCATTATCATTAAATATATTTTTGTGTAGAAGAGAAGGTGGTGCTGGTGCCATCCAGTTCTTCTCCCACCCATCCCTAAAAAAAACCTCCCCATATCCTCTCTCTCTCTCTCTCTCTCTGTCTCAATCTCAATCTCCCCATCTCTCAATTTTCATCTTCCAAATCTCTCCCAGACCCAATTCTTTCTATGACCATCAGACCCTAAAAAAACCTTCGATTCTTGGCCATGAGGAGGGGCAGAGGAGCCGCCGCCAGAGCCGCAGCAGCGACGCCGGCAGAACCCACCGGATCCAGGCCCAATATCGCCAACGAGGTCCGGTATCGGGGGGTCCGCAAAAGACCATGGGGACGGTTCGCGGCCGAGATCCGAGACCCGTGGAAGAAGACCCGGGTTTGGCTCGGCACCTTCGACTCGGCCGAAGACGCCGCTCGAGCCTACGATGCCGCCGCTCGCATCCTCCGCGGCCCCAAAGCCAAGACCAACTTCCCGGTCTCATGTGCTTACCCTCCTCCCTTCTACAACAACCCGACCGACCAGGCCATTGAGACGAAGCTTTTCGGGTCGGGTTATGGGTTTCAGGACCACCCGGTTGTCGATCCGCAGAGGCCCACGTCCAGCAGCCTCAGCTCCACCGTCGAGTCGTTCAGTGGGCCCCGGCCGCCGCCTCAGTCTACTACGATTGCCGCCGAGTCGTCTCGGCGGAAACGACAGCCGAGGACCCCGCCGGTTGTTCCCGAGGACTGCCACAGCGACTGCGACTCCTCGTCTTCAGTTGTGGAGGACGACGGGGATTTCGCCGCGTCGTCGTCGTTTCGGAAGACCCTGCTGCCCTTCGATCTCAATTTCCCGCCGTTGGATGAGGAGGGGGAGTTGGGCGGTGGGGACGGTCAGGATCTAAGATGTACGGCTCTATGCCTCTGATATTGTTTGATGTTACTATGATGTTGATCTTCGTTTGATGAAGATGATGATCAATGATTCAATTTTTTTTTTTTTTCCCTTTTAAATTTTTATAATCTCTTTTCTTTTTTTCATTTCTATTATTATTATTGTGCGGAGGAAAATGAAAAGAAGATGGTTAGATTAGAAGATTATGGTAAGATGATCTTATCTCTGTATTCTTGCATGGTGTTTGATGAGAATTGCTTTTTTTTTTTTTTTAAATTTTTTAAATTTTCTCATTTTAGAAACTAAACAAGAAATTATGAGGAGCTTGTTGTGGTTATGTGATATGTGTTAGGGTTTGTGGACTGTGATGGGATCTGGAATTCTTCAGTTTTCATGTTCTTGTTTAAAAATGGGGTGAAAGGAAAGGCTTATCAAATTCATATTGGGTGGGAATCTATGATTGGGTTGGTAGTTTTGTCTATGTTTTTGGCAAGTCTCTTGTTTGTATTCCATTGTCATCTTTAGAATAAGATTCAATTTGCATGGGCAGATTTGGGGAATGCAAGGGAAACCAAGTTGGAATGTGTCATTCCATTTTTCAGAAATCTCATTTGTTTGTAAGTTTATGGATAACCATTTCAATTAGTTTTTATTTTTTGTGTTAGAGGATAGAGGAAAATGCGAGTAAGAATGGAATGAGGAAGAGGATGAGAGGGGAGGATGGGAGGGACGAGAAACGAAAGTGAAAATTAAAAACAAAAAATGAAATGGTTATTAAACAAGAGACATCGAAAAAATTGAAAAAAGAAATTGAGAACTTGGTTCAATTTTGTGAATAAATGGGAAAATTGGATGCTCAATTTTAGGTTTAATGATGAATGTTTCATGTTGACTTTTCTTGATTAAAGGCCATGTCTTATTGTTTGGTAAGAGAGTGGGGGTCAACAATTGCATGTACAACAAACGCATTTTCTGAAATTGCATTCAAATACCTCCTCGCCGCTCACCTTATTATGTTGTCGTGTTGCTCATCTTCGAAAGTTGAACTTGGACTAGAATTGGAGGAAGGAAGTTCAGAAATAGCATGTTTTGCTATTTCCAATTAATCATATTTTGTCACGTATTATAAAGATTTGATAGATCAAAACGTAATTAGATGAAGAAAACAAAACAATGCTATTTCCGTAACATATGCAAGCTCTTCTCCTAATAAGCCCCTCTACTTTCCAGCCCCTACATTTTTTTATCTTTAACTTTGATTGTTAATTGTGTTGGGCATTGTGATGCTTCAGCTTCAAATTGAATTGGAGTCCCAAGAAAATATGCTTTTGTCCTTGTTGGGATGTAATGTAAGATTGCATATGGATTCTTTTTATGGAGGGCATTTTTGCATCTTCAACTCTGACTAGCGATTTGAATTGGAGCTAGCTAGGCCAGCCAGCCAGCCAGCCTGGGTTCCGTAGATTTCCTGGCAATATGCAATAGGCATACAAAATTGTATATATATACAATACAATACAATACAAGCAGTAGAAGACATTGTTTTTGTGGGCTCTGCAAACTTTGGGCCTCAGGTTTTCCGATGCATTCTTTTTCTATTTTGTCTTTAAGTGATTGTGTCTTTATTTTTATGTTTTTGTTACAATAAAGAGCATCGAACTTTTGCCTTAATCTAATCCGAACATCGTCATTTAGGCGCCAACGGAGTTTAATCCAATGAAAAAGTAATTGACTTTCAGACAAATGGTCTGAGTTTCGAGCACTGTGTGTGTTTTTTTTTCCGGACGAGCACTGTGTCTTTGAGTAACTCCCTTCTCTTGTAATTTAGAGAACTATCGATCGTATAAAAATAAAAACAAAAAACAAAAACATCGCTATTTAGGCTAACCTCAAAAACCTGAAGAGGTTGAACGCGTTTTCTCTTTTTGGGGTGGTGGGAAAAAAAAAAGGGTTCAAATTGCATTCATCAATGAATGGGAGAATAGGAGCCATGGGAACGGCACCTAACATTATTACTCAATAAATACAGTAGTTATTGCTTTTTCTGTATTCTTTTTCCAAACACAAGACAGAAAACAGAGCCCGACGAATAAATCACTACTGGGAATCTCGTGATTTAGGTTTACTCGAATCTACTGTTAAGGACAGGGATGGGTCCAATCCTATTGGTTTCATCTTCACCTTCTTTATTACTCTCGCTTAATTTTCAAAACATTCTTTTGACAAAGTTTAGTCTTCTTTTCTTTCTACGCTTGGTATTTAATTTTGACTCTCAACTTTTATTTTTCTTTCATATGTTACAGTATTATATTAGGGTTATGACATTGACGTGTGTTAAATTAATTTATCTTATGGTAGAAAGAGACTTTCATGCAACGAGATAACTTTTTCATGATACGCGAGATAGCTTTTTCTCATGTCATTGCATTATTCACCAGATATATCAAAACATTGATATTCTCGTTACAACAAATTTTTTCTGCCTACGGTGGGTAGGTTACATTATGGAGATCCATTCATTTGAAAAGGATAACATTAAAAGAAGAAGAAACATATAGGGGGGCCTTGCCTATCCAATGAGATCCATACCCTAACCTACCCTACCCTAACCTGCCCCGCTAGTGTTGTACATAGCCAACACGTTTGACCCCTACCCTACTAGATTGCACAGCTTTACACATGATGCATTGATGTGGACTTGGAAATATCATAATTGCGTTTGTGTTGTGAAGAAGAAGAAGAAGAAGAAGAAGAAGAAGATGATGATGTCCTTTAAAATGGTGATTGAAGCAAGTCTTAAAATGTGCCCCACACCAACCCAACCAACCAAAAAGAGGAAGTTGGTTTCTTCAAATGAGCTCATTTAATCAAAGCATTGTGGAAGAAAGAAAAGGGCTTAATTCTCTGCAAATGCTTCCACCGACACCTGCTTTGCACATGCCATGCATGACTTTATGTCCCCTCTTTGGTCGATACTTTGTAACACTGCTTTCCATGGCCGCGTCCTGGCTTCGTCCCTCCAAGATTATTTCCCGCCAAATCAAAAAACCAAAATAATAAATAATAAAGAAAGAAAATACAACATCTCCACTGTATATCTAGTAAGTTTTCTGTTTACCAGTGGTTTATCTAGCTATGTGTATATTGCTTTAAAGAAAGTAACTAATTTTTGGTTGAAAATGTTCATGGGGCTTCTTTCTTCATGTGTGGCCCAATTTTAAGTTGACGCACTATTTTCCCTTGGTGGTGTCTCTGATGATATGATATTGTTAGACTTAATTATAAATTTGCCTCTCAAACTTTTTAGGTTTTCCACTTTGGTCTTCTAAAAGAAATTTATCTTTAGACTTTTTATTTTATTGTAATGATTTTGTTTCTTGGATTGAGGAAGCACCTACATGGTTGCTATCTTCTCTTTCGGCAGATGTATCTCTTCTTGAGTTTTTTGAATGAAATCTTGATTCTCGAAAAAAAAAGTACGCAGGGGCTTGTATACAACTCAAGTGTTAAAGAACATTTACCACTTACACTCAAAGTCCTAGTTCAATTATCTCCTTTCCAATATTGCTTGTATCAGGGAAAAACAAAGATATGTTAAAATGGGGACTAACCTGGACTTCAACTTGTGTGTGTTTTTAAAAAAAGACTAAATTAACACTCTAGCCTAGGTCATCCAAATAAAATATTATTAATTAATCCCATTAGGACTAGGCTGACCATCCAAATAAAATATTATTAACTAATCCCACTACGTCTAAACTGACCAATAAATAAATAAAAAGAACTAAACCCCACAATTATTAACTAAACTATTACAAAATCACTGCACTAGGCACAAACATTCCTTCTCTCCTTTACCAAAAAAAGAAAAAGAAAAAGAATTCCCACTATCTCTTACGTAGTAGCAGACCATCATCTAGCAGTTAACTCCTGCTCTTCGACAAAAAAGGAAAATTATGCATGTCCTCAGACTTAATTAAAGGAAAAACAACAACTGCTTACAGGTAGATTCTTAGCTTGACATGAGAAGCTTGTGGCATGAAAGCAAAGCAATCATGAGTTAAGTATTAAAAAGAGAGAGGGCTGTGAGTTCCTATGAGAAACATGGGTTTTAAGGAAATGAGGAGAGGATTCTAAGAGGGTTTGTTGAAGAGAGAGAGAGATGAGAGAAATAATAGGTGTGTTGAGTAGTTTCCGTTAGCCTGACAAAAGCTTTGTCAGACTCTGGAATACCTTGCCAAAAGAGAAAACGGAAGAGATGGAGGAATTGGGGCTGGAAATTGCAGATGTTTCTGGAATGAGAGATGAAGCTTGCTCTCCTCATGTGGTTGTAGCTAGTGGTGAAGTAGTGGGTGTGGTTTGAGTGAATTTCCAGTTGCTTGACAAAGCTTGGTCGCACTCTGGATGATGATTTTTGCTAGGTAGAGGAAGCTCCCTTTTATAGGTACTTAGAACCCTAATTCTATCAATCCTCCATTCCCACTTTTCCTTTGCTTCTTTCCATTCACTCATTTTTGGTGAAATTTCTTTAACCAGAGCCAATGGGTTATAGGCTCTTTGGGTTCCAAGGTTTTTTGTGAGGCTAGACCTTCCCATGGGGACGAGGTGCCACTTTCTTTTCTTCTTAGTTTCCCTATTAGAGCTCGCAGAGGAAATGAGAATGGATAGAGCTTTTGCCTAATGGGTATTCCTCCTACACGTACGAATTCCTTTGGTTTTGCGATGGCTTCATGTTGGATTAATTATTGACACAAATTAATGTGTTAATCATCCAATTATAAACTAGGAATGAGTAAAGAAAAGTAAATGAAACGAAACAAATTATATATGTGATTTAAGTGACATAATCCTAAACCTAAACTCTTATTTATACATAATTATATATGTATGCGAGCCTAACGGGCCTGGCTTTTGTGGGCGGGCCTAACGGTTTCTTGGGCTTAATCGAGCCGGGCTTCAGACACCCAAGCCCAAGCCTAGCCCGACCTAAGGGGGGCTGGGCCATCTCAGAGCCCATAACGGGCCGGGCCGGGCTTTTTTCAATGGGCTGGGTGGGCCCCCATTGGCCCATGAGCCCGCGGGCCAAATGATAAGGCCTACCCTAACCACGTAAGACAAACGGGCATTATCGCTTAATATGTGGCCCTTTTCATTAAATTATCATGTAGAGCTATGGGCTAGTCTGATGAAAAATTACTGGGCCTTTTTGTGGGAGGACTCAAGGACGAATTT